TAAATGATCATGATCATAAGGAACTCAGAAAATCACTTTTCATAATTTTTATGATTATATTTTATTTAATATAATTATTTTAATACAAAAATATCATTTTACTTAGAAAATCAACTTTAGTGATAAATATACTCCAAATTTATTCTAGATTTTTACAGTGAGTTAATGTGATTATCCTTTACAATATGGAATTGATTTTGTTAAATTTTGAATAATATTTTATTTAATTATTTTATTATACGTTTTAGGCATTTAGTTACCTATAAAAATGTACAAAATTACTTAAATCCATATTATATTTTTTCTTAGGATCCTCTAACCAGGAGAAACCTACCAAAATTAATTCCATAATTTTTGAATTTATATTTTAATTTATAAAGTTGTTTTAAGCAAAAATAGGTAACTAGGCTTGAAAATTAGGGTTTCAAAGCTAGAGTTGCTTTCTGACCTAGGAAAAATCAAAGAACATCCCTATTAACATGAGGAATAAACCCCCAAATTTTCAAGCCATGATGATTATTATTTACTTAATTAAAATTAAAATAGTCTAGAGGGTAGTTAACTAATTAAAAATCAGAGCATATCGATTAATTTTTATTTTTATTCCACATTATTCTTCCTGTTCACCGAGCAACTAGTATTTTTATTTTATTTTTATGTTTTTTCTTTATCAATTTATGGATTTCTAAATTATGGAATTAATTTAAATAAAAAATCCTTAAATTTCTTACTTATCCGAATCAGCCGCCACCTCATTCTACGACGCTCCGAGCTCACACGCGTTGCTCCTCCATTTGACGCCGCCATCTGAGTTAGCTGTCACGCGGCCCACGATTCATGTTTCATCCTTCCATCCTATGCGATCTGAGCCGTCCAACTGATACCCGCGCTATCCAACAGCTCTTCGTCATCGTCGGTTGATCGCCCTGGCACGAGAACCTTCCAACTTAAAACCTTTAGATCTGTCTTGATACTTAACCAAATAACATGTGGATTGTTCCTATACCTTCATTTACTCAAGACGAACACATCTATACGGTTAAATGCTCATCTAATCAAACTTCTTTTCACAATTGGTGAAACCAAGCAAAAAATTAGGATTGCTAGTCTATACCTGAGTTTGAGAGGGGAGGCCTCAATCAAATGCTTATGGAAGCTGTGGAAGCTTCAGAAGAGTCTGGAGAACCTCCTGGAAGTGTTCTTTTCCTCTGGTGAATAATCCAAGCATAATTTCAATCAAAGGGTGGTGCGACCTTGGTCAAAAGCTATGTTAGGGTGCTTAACAAGCTCGGGACAGAGGGGTTTTTGATGACAAACTTCCTTCGTTTGATTGAGGAAGTTTAGGGATGGTTTAATTCGAGATTTGGTGGAGTTTTGGTTGAGTGACTGAAATTCCCCTGGTTTTTAGCTCAAAATTGAGCTTAGACAGAGAGATTCAGTGGGCGAAAATTGTCAGATTGATCTTAGGAAGCCTTTGAGAAGCTCTGGGAGCAATTTGACAGAGTTTCCTCAAGGTTTTGTGCATTCTCTATAGTTGGCCCTGAGAGGTGCCGTTTAAATAGTGGGGGAAGGAGTGGCCACCATGGATGGCCAGTGGGTGCAATGTGTTGCTTATGTGGAGGGAAGAAAGGTGCAAGTGACCAATTAGAGTGAGACAACTCAGGGAGTTCAAATTTTGAGTTCAAAGCTTGCGGTGGCTCTCGATTTTGGTGTTTTCCGACCACTAGGCTTGCCGGCCAGGCCAGGGCTGGTGACTAGAGTGGTTAGGGGAGCCAGGGGGAGCTTAATGATGATTATCCTTGAAGGTTGATGGTTGACGACAAATATATTTTGGGTTTAACCAAATATGGGAGGAGATCCCCTAAATCAAGGGACCTTTGGTCCATGGCTCATGTAGAGTGGGCTAGGTGGGTCAGTGGGCTAGGTGAGTGGGCTAGGTGGGTCTAGCCTTGTCCTTAGGGTCCAAAGGCTTGCTGTTGTGACTATGGCTCAGTCAATTTAAATGGGTTTGGTTCAATTTAAGGCTTGGGTTCAAAATCATGTTATGTACTTGGATTTGTATTTGGGTTTGGCTAGACTTTGAGTTTGGCTCAATTGATTGATCAAATTGGCTTGAATGATTGTTATGAGTAGATTGGAAAAGGAATTGAGTGATTTTGAATTGATTTGGGAGTTCAATTTAGTGGAATTTGGCCAATGACCAATTTTGGGGTATCTGGGTTAGACTTGGGTTTGAATTGGGCTAAGGTTTAGGTTAGGCTCAATTGATGGTTCAAATTGGTCCAAGAGTTTGTAATGAAAAGTTTTGGATATCAATTGGGTAGAAATTTTGGAGTTATGAGGTTAAATTTGATGGAATTTAGACTTAGGTGTAAATTTAGGGATTTTGGCTTAGGTATGATTTAGGTGAGATTTAAGGCTAAGCTAGGGCCAATTGAAAGTAAATTTGGTCTAAAGGAATGTTATAAGGAATTTGGAAATCAAAATTGTGGAAATTGAATAGGTTAGAGGGTTCAATTTTTGGAAATTGGGTGTATGGTCAAATTGGGTATTTTGGTTGGATTTAGAATTTAAGTTTAAAATTGGGTTCAATTGAGCTTCAATTTGGTTTCAATCAAGATTAGAAATGATGAATTTTAGTTTAGAATTGAAATTGGGGAAATTTGGGATCAATTTGGTGTAAATTGGGGCCTTAAAGGGCAAAATTGGGATTTTGGTCAAAATTGGTCAAATTGGAATTCATGAGCTGTTAAGTTTGGTTTTGGGGGTGCTTGAAATGATTTTGGAGGTTTTTAGAAATTTGAGCCACCAAGGATATTTTGGTAATTTTGGCAAACTTGAGGGTATTTTGGTAATTTTAAAAATTTAGGGTGTTTTGGGTAGTTTGGATGGTTTAAAGTTTGGATGGTTTAAAATGGATGGTTTAAAAGATTTGGGGTGATTTTTGGACAAAGTTGGGTGGTTTGGGCAATTTTGAGGATTTTAGGGCTTCAAAGGTAATTTGATAATTATGGGAAAGTTTAGGGGCAAAAGGTTAAAATTGGGTATTTATGTAAAATTGGGGTTCAATAGGATGCCAATCATGAAATTACCCTTCATGAGCTATGAGACCAAGGGAAACCCCACTTTGGATCCTCCATGTGCTGGTCTTAGCCGAATTCTAACATAGGGCTAATGGTTTATGGGACCATCCACATGAGTTTCCAAAAAGAGTAAGGGATCAACTAAAAGCATATTTGGTTAAGAGTTAAGTTTGTGAGTGTAATTGAGGGGTATCAAGTGTATGTGTGTGTGAGACTGACCAAGATCACATCACCCAGGGTCAACCCTAAGGCCAAACAATTTTATGGGGACTCCTCTTGAGCTCCCCCATATTGACTCCACCTACTAAGTGGTAACACTTAAAATCAGTATGTGAAACTTCAAGCTGAGCAAAAAAGAGTTTTAGAATTTCTAAAGGTGAGGGTGTCATCACTAGTCCTCTAGGATAGTCAACAGAAATGTCCTATAGCTAGATCCTAGGCTTCTAAGGAAGAGACTAGACCTCAACCAAAAGTGAGGTCAACACCTTCTCGGTCCTTCGTGCCCTTCTATTGCTAAATCATGTAAATCCGACAAACCCCCAAATTTACTAAATCAAGAATTGTTGATTTAAGATATTGTTGGATTTAAAAATTTCATTTTTGATCTACTTTTTAGTGATCCCTATGAGTTTGATAGATTTTAAAATTCAAAAAAATCTTTTTAATTATCAATATAATATGTACATTTCTCATATTTCTCATGTCAATCTAAAAGATATAGTTTTGAGTCTCATGATGTTCATATTATAACTATCTAGTATTGTAATTGATTTAATTTCATTTTAATTGTGTTATGTTATTATTATGTTTTTTTACTCAATCATTATGTCTTTATTTTAAGTTGATAAGATGATGCAAGACTTCTTAGGGCTTGAGCATCTAATACACTAAATGATGTTGAATAAGTAGACCAATCAATATTATAACCCTTGTTTTAAAGATTATCAAATTAAATAATCGCATGTTTCTTTTGATGAAAACTATGAATAACACAATTTTTCCCAGTAATAATCCAATGATTGTTGAAATCGAAATTCTGCCAAATACAAAAAATTACAACTCGATTTGGCTTCACATTACAGTTAGAAAATAGGTTTTTGTTTTGGTTAAAACCACTCACACTATGAAGGCAATTTCACATTATATAGCAAATTTGGGCAAAAGTACTGAATCGCCAAATAAAGAAACGTGTGCTATGAGTTGACTTCCCTCGAACATTGGTTGTTGCAGTTGCACAACACTAAAATAAGGCAACATGTAAGAATAACTTACGTCTAAGAAAATTTGTAAATTTTATTAAACTAAATGCTAGATAAATGCATGCTTCAGTTTTCCTTTCCTCTGAATTGTTTTATGTGGATTAAGTTTTGGTTTGGTGCAAATCTGACAAGGCCTCAAAAATAATCCAATGATTTATAAGCAAGCCACTTGAAGAGCATGGGCATGCACGAGCGGAGTAGAAATGTGTATTTGTTGATTTGATTGCAAAATAGAAAATGAGTCGAGACATAATGATTGAAGGATAAGATCACATATCTTGGATTCTAGCAGCATGAAAGGTGGAGGCGGCTGGTTCAATTACAATGGATTAGCTTAGGTTTTATGCAGCGGTTTCAGGGGAGTGGGATCACAAAAGGTTTGCCATGTCATAATTGACAATTTGATCAATGGAAAATACTTATGAAAATTTTTAGGTAATTATACTCACGAATGTTTCTCAAGGAAGGGTAAACAATAATGTAAATTTAACAAATACTTTGGCCTTTAGGCATTTAAAGCCGCACCTACAATGTTAGCTTTAAGGCTAATAATGATGGTTAGCTTGCTTGAAATTTTTGTATATGCCAATGAAGTAGTCATTTTTTAGTGTCTATGCAAGTTTTGGTATAATTTTACTTGCTTGAATTTCTTATGCAGGATTGTTTCAGAAAAAGATAGCTTGGAAGCTTGTAATAAACTTCATGCTGCTGGCCCCCAAAAGGTGTGTTTTAAAGTACTCGATTATTTGATGCCTTCTTGTAACACGTACAAATTGGTGGAAAACTGCTCCACGCTTCACTTCAGTGCTAGGTTGGAAATTTTCTTTTTTGGAATATTTATATTTTGTTAGTACTGTTTGGCTGTGTTGAAATTTGTGAGATTTAGAGCTCAGATAGACCGAACAACCAAGGGTTTATGTTTTTTGCAGCATTCTGCTATTGTAAAATTGTGCGAGCCTATGTTAAGCAATTAGTAGGGTATGTCTTAACGCAGCACCATTTATTTCTAGCTGCTAGAAAATACTCTTCTATCATTCAAAAGGCAGCTATCTGAACAATTTTTTTGAAATTAATGAAAATTTTGAGTTCAAACTTTTTTTTTTCCATGTTACTCAAGACAATTGAGCTTTCCATGGAGCATTTTCATTCTCATCCACTTCTTTTAAAATCTTAAACCTATAGTAGTGCAACAAGGACATTACAATCCGCGAGTTTTTCATATTTGTTGGTTCAAGTTGGTGTTGTATGCCAGAGTCTTGTAACATTATGAAATGTTATGGTAGGTTTCACTCTCCATTCTAGTAGTGAAAGCTGGGACCTTGGTAGGTGTCACACCCCATTTTTGACCTTTCTCAGTCAAACATGAGATGTAACAAAGACGGACGATCTAGTTAGATATTTTCCACCAATGCTTATTATCAATTTTAAAAACTAGGATTAAGCGAGTAAAACTATTCGATATAGATATATAAAAATATATATGCTACACATCATAATCATCTAAATTACTCATTATAATCATAAATAGACAAGTGTGCATAATTCAACTTATTAAAATGGATTGCAAAATTTTAAGAATTTTCATATATAATTGGTGTATTAGAAATTTTAACTTACATAATGTACAATTTTTTTATAATGCATCCAAAATTTTGCATCCAAAACTCTAAAATGAAGTAAAAAATGTGTTACATGTCTCTTGCCCAACTTGTTCATTTCCTTTTTTTTGGAGTAACAATCATCATAATAATTGATGAGCTATAAGTTTAATGGGATAATCAAGTCTAATGTAAGGTCTAAAGTACAAGAATAGGAAAACAAAGTATACATGCTTTTGAACTAACATGAGTATTTATATTCATAGACATAGCTAGCTCATTGAAGTGGACTAAAGTGACGGCATACTTTGATAATGTAATAATTAGAAAACTTAATCATACACAATAGGCTTGAATATTTGCAAGAAATAAAATATAGTGATAAAGTATTATCAATAATTAGAACTACTTGTTTTGCCATTTTTTTTTATCTTTTTACTTATCATTAACTTAGAAATTTATGACATTTTATGTAGATGTTGACACATTCGCATTTTCTGTTTCTGCTTAACCTGTTGGGCATAATAACCATTGATAGTATTTGAACTTAATCTAATATAGCAGTCATAAAAAACCCTTTGGTCAAGTTTGAGTCATACCATATCATCTTTTCAGTATTGTGAGTGGGGAATCATTTTTAACCTCACTTGAGGCTCATATTAAAAGAATTTTTGCTTTCAATCCCATATGATTTATCCTTGCATAGATTTCTCCTACTTTTAACATCATTATCATAAGCTTTTAGAATATACATATATTTCTTTAATGCTTATGCTATCATCATCATGTATCAGTGTAGTTTATAGGCATGAGCTGGATGACATGTGATGAAATATCGGCTTCAATATGTTTAATAAATGGTAAAACACTATGAAACTTACATTATATGATAAAACCTTGTAGGTATCTTGAATAGAGATTCATTTAAAATTATTTAGAGTAATGAAATTATTGCATTCTTGATATGAAGAATTATCTAGTCATATATATACATGATAGTTCAATGAAATTATAGGAATTTCTAAATACTAAGTCTCATAATAATTTGCTCTTTATATTAGAAATTATTAAACACTGCAATTGTCAGATCCCGAGCCTTGGATGCAAAAAGTGTGAAGGGTTATGTTAGGTAGTCAACAGACATCATAAGTTTTTTTGATGAAAAACTATGACATGAATCATTTAAATCATTTTTCAATGCAAGACGTCCCCTGGAAGCGACATGCTGTATGACTTGAATATAGTGAAAAGTGTGTAATGGCCATGCACCTACTCTCATGTGTAGTGTGAAATAAGCAAGAGTTCCCAATTATGGACAGATGTGGGCAAAAAAGTGTCCATGAAACTAATATTATGATAGAAACTTGAAATATAGGAACTCTCATAGGTAAATTAATGAATTTAATAGATATCATGGTTCATAGGAAGATAAATATCTTATGTTTTCAAGAAATTAAATAGGTTAGAGAAAAAGCCAATGAGATTGATAGCTTAGATTTTAAACATTGGTATGTAATTATGAGTCGTACTAGATACGGTTTAGGTATAATATTGGTATGGGTGTTGGTGGGCAGCATTTGCAAAAGCAAGGTGGTTTTGGGATAACGGTTTGAGAGCGACATCAAGTATGGAGTGACTGAACAACAGGTAAGTAGATCATAACATCAACAGTTTGTTGTTTGGGGTGACAGCAAGGTGTGCGACTGGTTTGGAAGATGGGAACAACTAGGCTTTGGGGAAGTTGTTCATTGTGACTGGAATAGTAGCTAGGATGTAGGGAGGCGATTCCGACGGCTGAAACAACAACAAAAATGCTAGGAAGATGTTGGTGGATGCTGGAAATAACAAAGGAAGCGACGACAACAAAGGGAGAGGTGTAGAGGATGGATAGATGATGATAATCACCATGGCAAGAGTGTGATACAATTGAAGCAAGCCTTCCCAAACAAACACATGAAATAATCTAACTCTAGACTCCCATGAAAGTAAATTATAATAATAGATAATTAGGAGTGGACCAAGAAGCCGACTGACATGCCACTGCAAAGAAAGACTTAGACCGGTTCGGTCCAGGCATATTAGCCAAAGCTCACTTCGGTCGTGGGATAAACTTTTCAATAAAGATTGTAAAAATACGATAGACTTTAGTGATCTTAATATCATAATTAATAACAAAATTTTTTATTTCTACCGTCATATTTGTAAAATAAAATGTAAGGACACTTTAAAAAATGTATTTTGGAAAGAAAGTAGGATCTAATTGTATTCCAATAGATGTATGTAAATGTTTAGGAGATTTAAGTTTTTGACTTACTAAAATTTTTAATATTATTTTAAAAAAATAAAAAGATACGGATGAGTGGAGAAAGAGTCTATTGGCTTCAATTTTTATAAATAAAGGGGATGCACAAGAGTATATAAATTATAGAGGAATTAAGTTAACGTGTCATGCATTAAAATGATGGGAGTGTAATTGAACGTAGGCTACGACGGGAGACAAAAAATTCTCAAAATCATTTTGAATTGATGTCGGACAACTCTATTATGAATGCTGTTCATTTGTTGAGTGGTTTGATAGAGAATTACAAAGAGAGTAAAGGGGACCTACATATGATTTTGGTTGATTTAGAAAAAGCTTATGATAAGGTTCCAAGAGAAGTACTGTAGAGTACTCTTGAAAAGAAAGGTGTTGGTATTGGTTATATTCAAGCCACCGAAGGCATGCATACTAGAGCTATTACTTGTGTTCGAATACAAGGAGAATTGACGAGTATTTTCCTATTTCTGTTGGATTACAACTGGGATCTGGTTTTTGCCCATATCTTTTTTGCTTTAGTTATTGATGTTCTTATTGAACATTTGCAGGAGACTGTACCTTGTTGTATGCTTTTCACTGATGATATCCTTATCGTGGATAAGACTAGGAGAGAGTTAAAAAAAAATTTAATTTTGGAGGTCAACCTTAGAGTCTAAAGGTATTTATTTGAGTAGTTCTAAAACTGAATACATAGAATGTAATTTTAGTAGTAATAAATTGAGTGGTGGGGTTGTGACAAAGGTGACTAAGTCTTTAAAAGAAGTGAAAATTTTAGATATATCATGTTTATTGTTCAAAGTGTTTGTGATTAAGATGGGGATGTTATTAGTAGAATTCAAGTTGGATTATTGAAGTGGAGGAATACATTGTGTGATAGAAAAATAATGCTTAAACTAGAAGAAAAAAATGATAAAATGGTGGTGAAACTTGCAATGTCTTATGGCGCACAATGTTTTCCCATAAAGGAGCATGATAAAATTATGTTTTGCTGAGATAAGAATGCTCACGTGTATGAGTGGCTTTGCACTTAAGAGTCAAAATGTGAAACAAATATATTTGTGAAAGGGTTGGAGATAGCCCTAGAGGCAGACAAGATTAGAGTGTTGCTTTAGATGGCTTGTTAACATTAATCGTCGACCATCTGATGACCCAATTAGGGGAGTAAATGTTTTAGATTTGACTTTTTTAAAAAAGGTAGATGTAGACTTAAAAACACTAGAGCATATTGTATAAATAATAATCTTAATTTTTTATATTTTAATGAAATTATGACACTCAACATGACACAATTGAGAAGAAGGATTCATATAGCCCAACCAGCTTAATGGAATGAAGGCTTGTTGTTGTATTAGAAATTGAGTGCTTCAGTGCAATTATTGCGTTTTCTTTGGAACAAATTTTTTATGTCAATTGCCTTGGTGTTTAAATCTTTCATAAAGCATCAAAATGATTTACCCTCATTCAAAATTTTTAAGCATGTAACTAGGAACTAAATTCAATTTGTAGAGAAAAATGAAATAAAAAAAACTGCTTTTTAGGATTCAAACCCTAGTTTTTCTTTTCTCTTTTTCCTTTTTACTCTTTCATTTTTTTTCATTCTTTTCGGCCCTCTGTTCTGCTTGGCAAAAGGTATTATGGGAATGGAACTAGCATGACATGCTGGTGCTTTTCATTTAAGTTAATTTAAATGTATTATATGAATATTTTTAGTCTTTTGAACTATCTTAATTATCCGTAAGATGTATCAGCCATCAGTCCTTACATGTGTGCTTTGGTGGATTTATGAAAATACATGTCACATTAATTC